CGTGCCCCGAGTGGCGGCACTGCGCACAGGCGCGATGCGACTCCTGCCCGCTTTTCGACAGGCCTGCACGCGCCCTGCGGACCACAAGCAACCCATTAGGTCGGTGGTGCCGTCCCTTCCTCACACTGAAGAGGCAGGACCATCCTGACCTCCTTCGGAACCTCCACCTGACGTTAGCGCCGCAACTCCTTGCTGACCAGCGAGCGGCGGATTGACGTCCTCCTGCCCAATCTTCGGCAGTGTGCGCTTGTCCGTCCACAGTATGAGGGCACATGCCGGACGTGCTCAGCCCGGCGTTATAATAGTTTGCGAGGGCCTCCCATGCGGACGCCGCGATGGATTCACCGTCTTCTTAACAGGCGCCTCGCGCGCAGATCGACACCGAAAGAGCAAAGCACGCCAGCAGGCCAAACACACGCAGGAAGCACAAACGCGGGAACTCGAGATGGACCAGGCTCTTCCGCCACCGCCTCATCACGGACGCCACGGGCTGCTGATCCCCGACGGACCACGGGAGACTCCGCCCCATCCACTGCGGGAATGCCCTCGTCGTTGGGAACTGGGACTGCGACTGTTTGTGACTGCCCCGGCCCGCACGACGGAATACTTGCCACTTTTGTACGGACAGCCCTTGCGCTACTCACTCGTTATTGTAGCAGCATACAACTAAAACAAGATAACAATCTGCTTTTTGATGAATATTGGGTGCGATTCCCGTGGACCAACAACTTACGTGGTGTGCGGGGATCTCTCCCTTTTTGTATTGTTACTTTGCTTTTGTGTTGCTTTCTGCGCTTGCACCTTCTTGTGTGTGTGCGTACCCTCCGTGAGGGGTGCCGACACGACGGACCGCTCTCGCCGTATTTACATGCGGTGGAGCCTTGTGTGCCGCCCTGCTGGTCTCTCCCTCTTCCATCTCTGTATATATATGTGTGTGTGTGTGTGCCTGTTGCCGTGGATTGGAGTGTGTGTCGTGCGTGGTGTGCGGCGTACGGTGCATGCCTGACCGCTGCCCTTTCCTCATGTGGTGTGCCCTCTGTGTGTGCCGCACCTCTCTTCTCCTCCGTTGCTCTCCATGTCTCTCACTGTGCAGATCAGCTCCACACCAGTGAACGAACACTCACGACGATGACG